GAAGGAGAGATAATATGATTGATAGCAAGCTTCTTTCTCTTACCATTGGCAAAAGCATGGAAGACCTTAGAATTCATATCCCCCTGTTCTAGCCATTTGGCATTGGCTTTTTGTTTCCAATAGACAACTTCCTTGTGGGTGGCAAGAAGTAACCTGGCGTTAGCTTCCTGGGCTAATTCACGGTTGGCCTCCGTTGGGTTCTCTTCGTATAACTGCTGGGCGGTAGAAGCATGCTTTTCAGCCTTATTGAGGTTATCGAAGATATGACCAAACTCATCCTTGTTCCAAGCCTTGAGACAAGCTTTGAGATCCTTGAGTTTGGCTACTAGTCCATGCATACCCCCAACAGTAGGGCATTTGTTCCAGCATTCCTTGACAACCGAAAGGAAATTTGTGTGGTGAATCCATGGGTTAAGAAATCTGAATGCTGATGGGCCTTTAACACTGCTGACCGAATAGGAAAGAAGGAGGGCTTTGTGGTCACTGCAGGCTCTGGGGAGATGCTGAACTTCAAACTCACTGAAGGTGGATTGGAAGGTAAGGTTAACCAGAATTCTATCAAGCCTACGCCATAGTTTCCCAGAGCTTCTAGTGCCACTCCAAGTAAATAGACCTCCGGAGGGGTCTGGGCATAAAAGATTGCAGGATTCAATGCAGGAATTGAATTCGTCCATGCCTTGAGTGTTAGGGCAAAGCTGACCTTTGCATTCCTTAAGGGAGGAAATCACATTAAAGTCCCCCCGACCACCCAACACGACGAATGGCTGCTTTTGTGTTGAAGATTTCCCCATAAAAGTCGGCGTCCCACCACCGTATGAGAGCCATAGATACTGGAGATAAGAATGGTGGAGGAAGGGGAAATAGGAAGGGAGAAGAGGCAGTGTGTAACCTGATCTTCATCCTCGGCACTGATGAAAAGCAGTTGGTTGGGGTCCCAAAACATCCATCTTTTATTGTTGTTAGAAGACAAATGGTTGGGAAATCCCAACTTGAGGCTGTAATCTGGGAGTTGTGAGGCAGAAACCTTTGGTTCAATAATGCAAAGAAAGGAGGGGTTGTGAATCCTCTTAAGGGAACGGAGTCTGTCAAGGGAAGAGGACACCCCGCAGACGTTCCAAAAAATAATCTTCATTGGGAAACCTTCCAAGAGACTTTCTTAC